CATATGATATTCACCTGCCTGACGCTCCGAACAATAAATTTCAGTTCACACTGACTCGATCTGGTCATCCGACTCTTGTCATCTCTGCCTGGGTTCATGTGATCATTAAGCTGATTTTGTTCTGCAGCAGTCAGACATGCTAATGCTATTGAAAAATCTGCATCTGAAGAAACAAAGTACAAGCAATTAATTTGTTTCTTTAAAAAGGACACCTCCAGATGCCGTCTCCTCAGGAGAACAAGTGAATAGACAAAACTAATCCAAAAAGTGGAAAAAATGTCCCCTTATGATTAGTCAGATATCTAAAATTTTCACTGGTTACATGTGTTTACTGATTTTTTTTTATTGCCCACTGATTGATACCAACTGTATTTAACTACATAAATGTAACCTACAAAGATCCTCATACAGCACTAAGATGTAAGGTAGAATACTTATTATACCAGCTTCTTTACATGAATAATATACATACATACAGATACAGATTGTTAAAAATGTTTTAAAAAAATAAGAAGAAGAATAAAAAAGACTAACATTGTCACTCTTTATTAGCCATGTACATGATGTGGCACAGTAATCATAGCTGCAGACCATTGGTGCATTGGTAAACTTCATATATATACGCTACGTATTCTGTTTATCTTATTCACTTCTGCTGAAGAGTAAATAAACCTATAGTCCACGATCATTTGAGAATTATCAGCTGTTTAATGCATTAGGTTTTATCTTATTAAATTAAATGTAATCCAGTATGATTATTTCTGACATTTCAACTCTCACACTTTCTATTTTAATCATTATGGTCACTTTATCCCTTCCAAGTCTGGCTCTTTCATGGAATTACAATCACTGTTGGACGTATAATCAAGCCTCACAGCCATTTGGTAGTATCTATGTCCACCTACATGTTAAAGCTCAGTCAATGGACACTGTCTGGAGCCACACCTATTGATTTTTCTGAACCGCATACATGAAATATGAATGTCATCACTGTGGTCTGGTTGGCCAGCATCAGTTTTCAGCAGCTCAAAACCAATATCTATATTTGCCTCAAGTTTACATTACATCTGATATCCAGACTGAACAAATGAAACTTTTGTTGTTCTTGAGGGATTTTTCCTTTTTTAGATCTGCCTTGTCCCCCCCCCCGGAGCTGATGCATATCAGACTTCACTCCTGCCATACCCATCAATACTGTGATTCTTAGGGATTCTTGTAAATCATTAGAGTTGATGTGATGGGATATTTAGACACACAAGCTGAGTACTTCCTGTTGCACTAATCAAACCCTCCCCTGAGAGAGAGCTCAGACAGAGCGTACAGCCTCAGCACAATCACAGGAAGCTTGTATGTTCTCATTAACAGCTTGTCATGTGACTAATCAATTAAAAATTTAAAAAATAATTTACTGACTCAATGCTTTTTTAACCTTTTTATTTTAATCTCTCTTTTATTGTGGTGAAAAAAATTAAGCAAATAATTGTTCTCAAAAGAATTGAGAGCTAAACAGATGCTATATGAACAAGATCATTTGCAAAAAGAAGCAACTTTGAAATAAGAGATTGCCCAGATACTTTACAGCAATTCTTCAAATTGGGAAGGATGTGTGTAAATAACAAATGGTGGATGGAAGATTTCCTGTATAATTGTCACGTTTCTCAAAGTGATATAGAACACATAGAATAGATAAGTAGCTAGTTAAAAATAGTCTAGTCAGTGAGTTAAAAAGCATCAAACGAATATTCATAATTATGAATTTCTATACTTTGTAATGTACTGTTAACAAACACACGCATTCTGGTATATAAGTTCGAACGCGCACAGTTCAAAACAAGGACAAAATATTCTGTTGATAAATTAAGTTAAGTTAAAGGCCTAAAAATAGAGAACTTGTTTATATATGCAGTTGCACGTTTGAGCCACCGGAGGGCGAATCATGCAGACAACCTAATAGCCGGACCTTGTTGTTGGCGGAGCTAAACCGAACAACCGACCGCATTACCAGACAAGAGTTCATCATAAAATGTGTTCCTACGCTAAACTGCCCGTGTGGAACGTGAATAAAAACTGCTTATAGCCTGGGCGACATATCTCCTATAAATCACAAACAACACCTTCCTTATTAACTGTATTTTAATAAAACTTTCTGTACATTCAAAACACAGTTTACACAAGATGCTAGTTGTTACCTAGCCTCCAGTCACCACAATTCAATTGCCTTATTCACATATGAACATTGCTTTAGTCACATTTTTTCAGAAATTACTGATTTCTAAATCTGCACAGCAGAACTTCACCAGCTGTCACCACTTCATCCTCCATTCAAGAGGGAATTCATCTGCTCAGCTCTAATGTTGGTACTTTCTCCTGCGCTGCTTCGGTCTGTCATCTTTACAGCGAACATACACGACATTCTGTGACATGTGAACGTGTTGTCCGTCATCTGTCATAGGGCAGAAAGATGTCCTAGAACACAGACAAAGATGTTAATAATGAAAGGTGTTGTTTGTAACACAATCTGGCCAATAGATGGCAGTAAAGGCTTTGTGTTAGGCGTGACCAACCTTTTCCGTCGGTGTCATATATTTACCATGTACTGCTCGTAAAGAAACAGAATCTGATTGATTTTTGTTTAAGTGAAAACCGATCATAGATTATAACCTATCAACACAACATTTCTATTTTGTTCCTGTATAATACATACGGCAAAAATGGAAAAATAAAAATGACTAAAAAGCCTAAAAAGTCTTATAAAAAAAGAGAGATAGGCCTATACTGTGTATATATACGTATGTATATGCCTTTCTGAAATTTTTTTAAACATTTCAAAAATGTTGTTTTCTGCAGATTAGATTTTTTTTCATAAAAATCCTAATTTTGTGAATAATTTTGTCAGTTAAAAATGATAAATTTTGAAGAACAAAAATCCAAATTTTCTCTTTTCTGTATGTTTCTCATCAAATTAGAACATTCTGAAAAAATATTTAGGAATTTTGTTTTGAATTTTTTTGGTAAAATTTTATTATTTATTTATATTATTCATAATAAATTTAATTTATTGCGTCATGTGGTCAGATTGTAAAAAATATTTAGAAAAACTATTTTCTGGCAAAATTTTAATTTTGCATGTCATGTTGATCAAAAGTTGAAATTCTCATGAAAGTTTGTAAAAATGTTATGTTTTCTGCATGTTTCTCATCAAATTATGTTTGTGATTACATGAATTCTCTCTGTTCTGGACTGTACCTCTCCTGTGTCTCGCCAGCTTTGATGCTTATCCTTCCCACTGTCAGCAATGGTTTTTTCTCCCTGTCCACCCAGGGTATCAGGGTCTGAACCCGGCTCCACATGTTCTTCCACAGGGTTGGTGGCTCCCAGAGCAATCTCAGCATCATCAGATCTCCTAGATCTCTGTCCAGGGTGATGAGGAAGGTATAGGTCTTATTTGGTAATATCTTCTCATTGCTGGTGAAAAAACACATAAATAGAGTAAGCTATTGTAGCAGGAAACATTCTACAATTGTTTTCCATTTTCCTCAGTGTTAAACAAAAACGCTATGTAGTGATGTTCCACAGCTAATGCAGAGAAGCTCGTAAAGTGTCCTGTGCTCGCAATGGTTTTCTTGAAGCTCTTTGATATGCAGAAGATTAGAGATCACACACTTGCTAAGAAGCACAGTCCTGAGTCAATAATTAATTACATCATTCACTTTTATAGTTCTCTTTCATGCAGGCACTTGAGTTATTTCCATGTGTGCCAGCCTTCCGTTAACATTTTCTTACTTTACAGAGAATAGATCACAGCTGTATATTGCATGTGACAAAGACTAAGTGTTTCAGAGAGGGCTGAGAATGTGATGTTTGTGAAGCACTAGGTGCTTTACTCACAAGGGGATGTCCAGGGTTCCACTGTCCTCCTTTGTTCCTATGAGGGAGGTGGTGAGAGACGGTTCCATATTCTCCATCGTATTTACAAACTGGATCCTGAACTGGTAATGATACACTAGAAAGGTGATTAAGAATGAAAGTCGTCTATCTGTCGTCATATAGGTTGGTGTAACGGTAGATCATTTGTGATATTAAAAGAGAAAGGAAAGAGAATATGCTTCAACTTCATTATTTATGATCATAGATTGTATATAAAAAATGGATTAGACCATCCAGTTGTAGAGTGTACTAGTTAAGGGATTCCAAGGAAGTAAACAGGAAGTGCTCTGGTGATTTGGAAAGTAGTAAACTATAAATGGACAACCAGCCGGTCCCATTTAAGGAAGTGCTCTGGTGATTTGGAAAGTATTATAAAAATATACTATATATTATAAAGTAATATTTAGTTAAGTTTAAAAAAATACTGAAGTTTACAATTCTTATAATTCAACTTTATATTTCTTTAGTTGAATACCTTCAATCATACATGTAGTAAAAGTAGATTGAAAGTTCAATGACAATTTTAATTTTGCTTTAAATTAAACACTACTGTTCAAAGACCACCACCTACGTTTGTAAGGCATCTGAGATCTTGTTTTCAGGTAGAGCCTCTTGCTTCTTCCACTGGGGACTCTTTTGATGTCGTAGCCCAGTGTGTTACAGCGATTCTTCCGACAGTGGAGACACACTCCTTTGTCAAAGGCACTGTTGTCACTGCAGCTGTAGGCCATGCTCTGCATGTCTTTATTCAGAAGAGAGTCGATGAACAGATGCACAGATCGTTCGTGGGCACACTTTACTGTTTGCTCTAAGGCTTTGAAAGAAGAAGAAAAAAGACAAACGGTTATGTTTCTTAAACATTTTCATTCACTACTGCAGAATCATTTTCATGCTTTTTCATATTTGGAGCACATTAATTACAATGTTTGACCGCTATTGGTGGTTTGAGATCATTAACATTTCAGTCAGACAGTGATTCATCTGATTGTGGCCTCTTCTCTGAGCAGACTCCCATAGCCTGGAGGCAGCTCAGCTCAGAGGGGTGGACGAAGCAGAGGAAGACACATGTTGGTAATTAGCTCCTGATGATGACAGGCGCTTTTATGTGGCTCTCGCTGTCACAGTATGTCGATGTGTTTTGGATTGAGAAACACCATAAATCCCAGAGCTGCTTGTGTTTGACTGCAGGGAATTATATGCATGTGCTCAAACACAGAGCTAGAAACTGTCAACAAGCCAAAGATGGACGGGCGCCCAGGACATGGCTTCCAAACCATGTGTTTTGAGGTGGCAAGACCAATTATGAAAATAAATATTATGACAGAGCAGCAGAGGAGGCAAACCAGCAAGCAGTTAAGCTGCAGAACATGCTGCTCTGAAGCAAGGTTGTAAATGGCACAAATGGGTACCATTTGAGAGCTAAGAGTCCCATATGACTCTAAAACAATAACTTCTTTCAATCACACCTAAATCTGCAGATAATCACTAGATCCAAAAAAACAAGCTACTCTTATCCTTTATTCTGACTTGTCTCATCATTGTCATACAAAGAAGAGACAAGACACTTGTGTAATAACTGAAGTATATTAAAGTGGTACATTTGTTTTATAAAATGTTGCAAAAACTAGGCTAACCATAGATTATGACCAGTAAAAAAAAGGTACAAGTTACCCTAACGCTAACCATAGATTATGACCAGTAAAAATAAGGTATAAGTTACCCTAACCCTAAACCTAAACCTACCGCTAGTTAACCCTAACCCTAATACAAAAAAGTCTTTGAACGTACAGAAAGCATATGAGAAGACCTTGCTACTATATCAAGAACTTGGGAGTGGCTGAAAAGTAGGTGAAGTTGGTGCAGAACCTGTACACAGTGAAACAATGGTGGGTAGTGTTCAGGTATTTTAGGGATTTTTTTCTAAGACATTTTCTATCCATACGCTAATGCTTGTGTCTATTTGTTTCTGTGTCACTATGCACTACGTTCAATGTCATACCAAGCAGCCCATACTGCGTTATGTGTTCGTAAATGTTCTTCAGGTTGCATCCTGGTTGGAAGTCTCCTCCATTGGGATAGAAGTCATAGTGTGCGACTTCCTGTTTGATGCCCACACTCAAGCCCATTCGTTCGTGAGTAAACGTGTGGATAGCATCCACAAACTGGGCATCATCTGGAGACAGTCTGTCTGTGGGAGACATGCCTTCAAACAGTGGTCCTGCAGGATCCAGACCTGAAAAGAAAATATGGAAAATATGTCCATCTTAAAATATTGTTATTGTAAAACATGTACTAAATGCTACACATAAAGCACACGTTTTACAATAATGAAATGCATAATGAATAATTTTATAGAGTATAATCCAGTTATACTCTATATGGCTCATGCATCGTAGCATCTCCCCTTGTCTGTCCGCCACTCGTTCACTTTGCTGTGCGCCGTTGCTGTAAAGTTTGTACTCTTGTGTTTGGTGAAAGTTGACCCTAATTTGACGCCCTACGATGTCCCCTAAACACTCTGATCATCGTCGCAGGCTTCTGTTACGAAGCCCAAACGAAGACGCTGACACAGATGACAGCTAACAGACATTATTATTCTTTCATATACGGTCCGTCTTGGCAAACGTGCACTCCTGTTCACTCTCCTCTCTCCTCACTCCTTGCTCCTACTAAGAGGAGAGGCTTGATTACTCCAATTGCGCTCACCTGTGTCCGGGCTGCACCTGCGTCTCCACTCCTGTGCTCTCTCTCCTGCAGCTGAGCGCTAACATCCCCCCGCCCCCACAATGTGTATTTAATTTATTTACATAATATGTATGTCTTATATTTCCATTATACAACTCTACTGTGCATATAATTGTGTGGCAAAGGCTAATACAGTCTAGGGAGGGTAGATAACAGTGTGGGGGTTTACGTAAATATATACGTAAACAATTTAATAACTATCTCGCCTCTTCCGTTTCGCGGTGGGTCTTTGAACGCAACATCAGCGATAGTAGAGGGATCACTGTATACCAGTGTATTTGGATATGTGGAGAAAACGCACCTGTGATTCTTCCTATTTTCACCGGACCTTCCAGGTAGCTCCCTGCAAATCCAGAGATGTGAGCACCCAGACTGTAGCCAATCAAATGGACTTTGGATGCTGGGAATTGGTACCGTTCCTGTTTAAGGGTTTGTACATATGCACAGTTATAGACACGTGGTTATTTTATTATTTCGGACCACCAACACGAACGTCTTACCTGCAATGAGTGCAGCAGGTGTGCAATGTCTTTTCCAACGGTGCGCGTGCTCTGTGCTGCTGTAGGGTAGTGTTGATGAGCCAGGGCCAGCCAATCAGTGATCACCACATTTATATCTATCAGATTAGCTTTAATGGCTGTGGCCAGTCTGACCACCCAGCTCTCCATCAAACCATCCACCTGAGGGGATACTGCACGTTAGAAGATGTCAGTTATTTAAACTGTGACAAGAGTTTAATGCTGAAGAATTAACACAATATTAGCTCAACAGGTCAGCCTCAGGCCACGTCTCCATGACTGAGTTTGATTTCCATTGAGGTCTGTGTTTTGTAAGCAGCGGTTTAAGTCAGTCAAGCGTCAGAAAAGCAGGAGTTGACCTTACCGACCACCCGTGAGTGATGATGATGAGGGGATTACTGCTGTTGAAGCCACAGGAGGTGAATGTGTGCAGCTGCAGAGTGTCCAGGGTGCAGGTGTCTTCACCTTTTAAAAACATCCTGAAGATGGAACTGCTGACATAAGGCTCTGTGGGCTTTAGGACTCGTCTCAGCTCTGTGTCAACTGCA